TCTGGGGACAACAAAACGAAAAAGTTAATCGGTCCAGGAGGGTTAGACGTATGACAATAGCTTCTATACATAAAATTCAAATACCACTCACTCGCTGATCACTATATTGCAAAACCTACAAGCTATAAAAGCTTAGGAATTGGCATGGAGGTTCCAATCAACCTCTAGGTGTGCAACAACAAGCGTTGTCGAGAAATTCCATTAGGACTCTGCCCCAGAGGCTTTTAAAGTTCCCATGTTATCCTTATGAAGAAATGTTTTGTATACATTTGAACACATGAATACTTTTGAGTCTGCAGTATTATTAAGGGAACAGCTGGGTACATTTTATTACATAAAATGAAAATATTTACATTATTTTTGTGGCTTGAAAAGTGTTTTACCTAACCCGCCATGTTAAACTTCCCTATCCCAAGCGTGGTGTAAAAAACTTCTTTACTTCACTCGGTGAAGTAATGAAACCAATTAAAATAACATTGAGTGTTCAACTTAATAAAATATACCTCTCTATGGAGCCAAAGACGTTCAACGCTAGAAGTCAGCTGTGCGCTTTTGGTCATTGATATGCTTTAAAGTATTTTCCTAACCTAGCTTTTGTTTGTAAAAGAACGTACGTAACCCCCTGTATATTGTCGGGTTGGGTAAAATCTTGTACTACACGTTACGCAAGAGCGTGTTTACATCACTAGGTGAATTATGCAACTAGCACAACATTCGCCTGCGTAACGTAAAAGCGCTCTTACTACCCTTGTAACGTAAATAGCTAATTACGCCACACTACACTATTTTGACGAACTTCCCATGCAAGGATTTAGTCCAGAAATTAGCTGTTTGTCACCAGCTTAATCAAATAGGGTTTCATTGCGTACTACTGTACTGTAATGAGTTTTACCGGACACCAATCAGCTGATTATACTGTATTTGGGTGATTTGGGTGGCAATTAGTGGTTATAAACAAAGTTGTTTGACTAGTGATTTTTAGTCCTTTAGTTTGTGGTAATGTATAAGGATTTGAACAGATTTAGTAGCATGGCGTAAACTATCGTAAGTAACTCGTGCAAAATATGTTTACCGGACTAGTAACGTTATATACTATTACAGGCATTTTATTTAAATTAATTCAGTCGCAGGATGAGGGCCTCAAATAAAAGGTCTTGGTCCCATGGTGTCGGGAAAAATAGTATAGTATGTCCAAATCTACCAGAGAATGAGAAATAACAAAAAAATGTTTCCATTTAAAATGCATTGGGATTTAAAAACGCCTGCATTGTTTACATTAAACATGCAATTAAAAATGTATTATCATTTTTATTCTACGTTTAATTCTGTTGATAGAGTGAGTGAAGTTTGTTTACGAATTAACAAATAATTTACAGTAGATGAATTTGTTCTTATCTAAAAACGATTAACTCATAATTTTCAGAGCTGCTGCATGAAAGATCTAAAAAATAAGGTGTCTATCGATTTTCAATGTAATTGCCTTTAAAAAGTTAGTCTAGTACATTTTTTGTAAACTCAACAGTCTTTGAGTTATTTAAGAAACAAATTTAAATAAACGCCATTTTGTTTTAAGATTTTGAAATAAAATTGATTTCATAATTTTTTTTTAGCTTTGTCTAGTTTTCATAAATGTTAGTGCAAATTTTCAATTTCTATCTTTAACCACTTTTTATAAATAAATCAATAAGTGAAAAAACAAAATGGCGGCTGTGTGAGTAACTAAGGACTTCCGAACAATTTAAATATGATATTTAGATATGTTTATTACTTAGAAAAAAATGCCTAAATTATTGGTAGAGAGTTCCGGGACACTCTGTATAGATATATCATGTGTAATGAACAAAAACTTAATTGCCAGTACTTTGAATCCATTAATTTTAATTAAAATATCTATCTCTTCCAAAACTAGCTTTGAATGATTATTTTTATGCTTGATTTAATTTCAAATTTAACTTATGTCTTGCTGCTTTTTTATTGCTTCTAAGTAAAAATTGCAAATTATATCAATCGTCATATATTTTACACTCGGTAAACTGGTAGTTATTGTAAAAGTTATGGATCTCTTTTGAATCACCAATTTATTGCAAGTATTCAAAAGCAAAATTATAAGTTTATTATTCAAACAAAATTCTATAAAACTTAAAAGGATGGAATGGTAAAAGAAAAGTTGATCCTGAACAACTTTAGCTAAAGTAAACTCTTGGTCAAAAGCACACTGGTACCCACAGATAACTTTTCTTTAAAAGGAAAACTTTTGTCAAACAATTTGAGAGTTCGCCAGAAAATTAAAAGGTCGCTGGTTTTATCCTGAAAAAAGTCACCAGACTTTGAGACTTATGATGATTTTAAATTGTACCCAATTGTCCTTAATCATTAGGCTTTTTGTAAATGACCCTGCCTAAAGAAAAAGCTTTCTTCGTAATAAAGCCACACACAATACCTTTAGTTTAATTTTTATATTAAAATTATTTTTTCTTTCTAAGTTTTTTCTGCACCCAATTTAAAACTAGGTGTACAATATGCAGTTGTCTCCTTGGAATATTGAGCGAGAGGAGCTAGCATATTAATCCAATACTTTTCTAAAGTCAATGCTACATCACTCTTTCTCGTAAATGAGATATATAATACTTGCAGTATCCAATGTCAATGGTGTATTTGGTTCACATAAATGAAATTCCTATTTGCAGTACCTATTCAAAGTCTAATAGTACGTCTAGTTCACATAAATGACTGGGACGAGAGTCGTCGTCCTGTAATCCATCTACTAGGAGGTCACGAATTGTGGATATTTATAGGCATGCACTGTGGATGCCATACTGCCTTGTGTGGATTAACGTCCACACAAGTGAGTACTTCAACTATCTGCAGTAATATCCTGATAATTAGACCAATTCGTAAATACCAAGGCAAAAATGTGGTTCGGATTCCACTCTAAACTGTAGGTCCCTTAGGTTGCCATTAGCTGTTAACAGCTGTGTCTCAGGAATGTCGGCCTTAGTCACTAACAAGACTACAAGATCGCGCCACCATCCTACACTCATCTCCATTCATACTTGGCTTAAAATACCTACTTATTCTTTCTTTCATTAAAGAAAGAAAGTCTACTTGCAGTATCCAAACACAATGGTAAGCCTATATTTTGTTCACGCCTAATTCCGACAACCCTAATTATTGGATATTTATTTTGTAGTAAATTATGCTCACTGATATTAATCCGATTGTTCCTCCCTTTTTCTCTGTACGGTATTTGTAATGTTCTATTAGATGGTTCGTTGACTAACATATGTTGGGACTCTTGTTTACCTTTTAGCGAATTTCCCTATAGGGAAGTAGCTATTACCGTAGGTGGCACGGTAAGACCTAGACCCGGGACCGATTTACTTTTTCATTTTGATGTCCCCAGAGGCCAAAAACACCATTCGTTCAAATTTTTATATATGTATGTATATGTATATATATATACGTCCGTGAACGCGATAACTTGAGTAATTTTTGTCCGATTTTGATGAAATTTGGTTTAAAGGTGTAAAGCGGGATAAACTTGAATGAGTTCGCGAACCAGCACGATCGGACCATGGGAACGGGGCTTTACGGGGGGTTTTATGGGGTAAAAATTGGTTTTTCTCACTTTTGACCCTCAAAACACAAAATTTCCCGATTTCTCTTTAGACCTTTTTAACGAGCTTAAAAAAACAAATAATTTAGTATATAAAAGTATTTTTGTTCGATTATTAGTAACGGAGAAAATTAAAAAAATTGTAAATTTAAAATTCCCATGTTATTCTTATGGAGAATATTGTCAAATGTTGTAGTTTGCATGTTTATGGATATATTTTGATCAAACTTGGCAAATTTATTTATTTTGTACTAAGCTATCAATATTTTACTCAAAAACACACTTTATTAGTTTCCTTGTAGCAGCAAACCTAGGTACTCGTTAAACCTTATGTTATAAAATATATTTAACTGAAAATCAATCCAGACAAATGGAAATTCGCTTAGTCGGCAGGTTTGCTGCGGCGGGGGTATTTATTGTTATCTCGTAAATATTGCATGGCAAACCGAATAACCCATAAAGCCCATGTTATATTTCTAAAAGTTTAAAGACATGTAGGGAAAAGCCCTGTGGTCCGATTTGTACCATTTCAGATTTACCTTCAAATGGTGGGTTACTATGACTGTGCTCAATTTTGTGCAGATCACGTCAGCTGTTCAGGAGGAGTATTTTTAAAACAAAAGCAGGAGTGTAGTTCAAGAGCTTCACTCGCTTCTCTTCGCTCCGCTCAATAACGTTAAAAAACTCAAGAACCATATAGTACTCATTTTTAAGAAAGTAACCAAAGGTTGCAAATAGATAAATAGTAAAAACAGTACAGTAAACCTTCGATAGTTTGACACTCTTCTTGTAGTTCGACACGGACTGAGCTATTTTGTAAAGTATTTAATGGTTATTATTGTGATATAAGCTGACTGGAACATTAATTTGTCATTTATTGTTGACTTGAGACTAATGAACAGTGAAATTGTTAAGCTTTTTAGTATTTAATAAATTTAAACTTGTATTTTTACTTTCCTGTATATTAAACTCCATTTACTCCCTAAAGTTCGACATTTCAATAGTTTGTCACCCCCTAAGTCCACAAAGTGTCGAACTATCGAGGCTCTACTGTATTTAAAAACAACCTGACAGAGAATTAAAGTTTGTCTTTAGCTGTGATGGATGTCAAATATATAAGAGAAAATGTTTTAATGTGTCAAATGTTTAAGAGAATCAGTTATTGACCAATTAATTGCATAATGGCTAAGTAAGTCAAGAATCATTGTCAAACATCGAACAATAATTTAACTGAATAATTGTAAGGCTAAAAATGATTTTATGAGGTATGGATAAGAAAGATATTTTTAACAAATTCAGTAACTTTTATTGATAACAAAATACATGCTCTTAAAATATACTAAGACTGATAAAAAATAACTTTTTTGTATAGAATATGGCAGGATGTTTACAGTACTATTTTCATTCAAACACTTTAAATAAAATATATCTTTAACAAATAACAATATTATTAATATATATATGTAAACAGAAAAAATATGGGGTATGTAAAAACTTTGTGCTTAAAAACTGTTTAGGACGTAACTTATTTTGAAAAACACAAAACTAACAATCAATATTGTAAACTTTATATTATTTAAAAATTAAAATATCACTTAGTTCAAAAGCTTCATAACAAATTAACTAAACTATGAAATATATTTATGAACTAAATAATTTCTGCGTGAAATTTCACAAAATGTAAATTCATATAAGACATATAAAAGTGAAATACTGTGAAGAATGTAAAACTACAAAATCGCAAAAGTGAAAAACCGAATGAGTGGTTTGACAGAAATGGTCAGAGTGAATTAAAAAATGAAAAAAACATTTCAGGTACAACTTTAGTTGTTTATAATCTAATATGGCACGATTTGAACACCAGACATCCATTTAAAGTACACTTACAGTACGATAAGGCTATATATTTTTTTGCGACTACAGACAAAACCAGCAATAGATGACTATAACTAAAAGCTCATTTTCAAACTCGTTTTTAAAAAAGTGACTGGGAAATTATGTGATGCACATTGCACAGCTTATAAAATAAATTCATACAAAATTTATCGGGGGTTTGTTGATGAATATGCTGAGTTGGTTGTTCAGGAGGATGCTACAGGTTCATGGGGAGCTGGCAACTTGTCCCAGGAAGGTTCAACCCCCCAGATTTCCCTCGCGTACTCCTCGATGGTGCGATCTGAGGAGAACTTACCAGAAGAGGCGATGTTGTTTATACACATCTCCACCCACTTGGACTGGTTCTGGAACAAATTGTTGATTTTTGTAGAATACTTGGAAGTACTAGGTAAAAGCATTGACTATTGGATACTGAAGTTGTATCAATAGTGAAAAGATAAAAGTAAAAGTAAAAAAATAACCAGGAAAAGTATCTAGGTATGTATTTTGATTTTAGAGAATTTTTTATATTTTTCCTGTAAAATTGACTCACCTTATGTTGTATCTTAATCCAAGACTTGTCCAAATCAACCAACACAAGATACACAAACAAACATGAAATGGTAGTTTACGCAACGATTGCGTTAAGTGAGTCTTTACGATACGAGTAGAAAATTTAAGGCACGAGCCTTGGCGAGTGCCTTAAAAACTTCTACGAGTGTCGTAAAGACTATTAACGCGAGTTGCGTACACTACTTTACCTACGACCGTTTTTTAATTACTATCAATCTGGATTTAATAACTAACAATCACTAATGATAACTTTTTAGAGAGGTTATGTTTTCGTGTATTGTCATTGCCACTGAAAGTGATGCAACGACTTGTTGTATAATCAGCTGATTTCCTGTAATTACGTGTTTGTTAAACTTCGTTAAATATTACATTGCTAGCAGCATTCTTACCATAAATAATATTGTATCAGGTACAATTCGGCAAATATTTCATTTATTTTTGGACTTCCACCAACTTAATTAAGAGTACGCGAGTATCAACATGAACAAGTCGGATCAACAATTAAATTGGTCAACTGATCAGCTGATTAGTTGACGTTCGAAGCATTACAATTTTAATTCTTTTCTCTCAATACTTGAACCTCATTGGTCCGTTACCTGTGTGGATATGAGAAAACTATGCGGATATGAAATTAAACTATGCGGATATGAAAGTAAACAGCTGTAAAGTGAAACTTTTCAATTCTAAGAACTGGACTGAAATGGCTACTTTAAAAAACGGTCGTAGGTAAAACATATTACAGTGGGACATGAGGTGTTCAGCACACTAGTCTAAGTTAACATTTGAGAAAACTAGACTTTGGTTCTATGGAATAAACATTCAAACACATATAAACATTCTAGCACATTTATTTTATAATTGTATGTTTTTCCACCTTTTGTGAATACAAATTGACAATTTTTTTAACAAACAAAAACTAATTTGAGTAAAACTTGCAAAATTGTCCAATATTCTAAATTTAAATTGTTGGCTTTATTTCAACGATAAAAAATTATTGTTCTTGTTTCACTACTTCTATATTATTTGGTTCACAACCAAGTTTTCATTTGAAACCTTTTCATTTGATTGCAAGTTTTATTTTACTCTTATAAATAAAATAAATTAAGTAAAAGTTTCTTTGATCCCAAAAACACTTACCAGGTAGGTCTCGTTGACTTTGTCTTGGCACTTGATGTAGTCATCGTAGTCAGCCAAGAGGTAGAATCTGAAACAAAGAAAAAACCGTTAGCATCGTTTAAAAGGTCATCAACTTTTTTTACTTACAATCCTCATTTTAACCAATTTGTGTTTCATATCATTATTCAATCTATCGGATGTGTTCGTCCTTCTGGTGTATTTGTACTCCATGTGTTCCAAGTAGGGATGGACGAGATTGAATTTTTAGTTCGAGACGAGACGAGACGAGATTTTTTATTTCTCATAAAATTTCGAGACGAGATCGAGACGGGATTTCCCTTCTCATACACAACGGGAAATGCACGTTCAAAATTTTTACCTGATTTTGTAACATTGTTAGATGACTGTTTAAATACAACAATAATGATAATAGGCAAGAATATTTACAATCTTTTATTAAAAAACATCAGCATAACATTTTTTTATTAATCACGCCTAACTTATTAAAAATGCCTACGATTAAGAAACATAGCGATATCAGTTAGGATAGAGTTCAACTTATCCTAAAATAAAATAAATCATAAAATAAAAGCAATATTAATTTTTATAAAATAGTTACTTGTTTTGACTTTTTATAGTAATAAAACATTCCTCACACTGCTTACACTTAACAAAACTTCTCAAATGTTATTAAAGTAATATTATTAAAATAATTAAAGTAATATTTACATTTATAGAATTAATTAAATAAGAACGCCTTCGCAAAGGAAACGCAACTACAACACGCTCCTGTATTGCGGGTAATGCATTGACTTTCTGCAGGCGTTTTTAATTTTTTTTTTTTTTTTTTTTAATTCTCGTCTCGATAAAAATCTTGGTCAAAAAGAAATCTCGTCTCGTGTAACGAGATTTAAAATTTCCCGAAATTTCGAGACTTGACCATCCAGTTTCAAACAGAAACTGTTGTTCTTGTAACTACCATCTAGGCCTACTTCTGAAGAAGCCTCTGAAAGAGGCGAAATATTAAGTATTATTATGTGTGTGATTTTATGTGTTCTTCGACTCGTCTGCAACCTTTCGTCAGGTGAGTTAGCTGTGTCCTCTCCATCCTATATATTTATTCAAATGTTAACAAAAAACTTTGCCTAATAATAGTGTATTGTCTACAACAGGAGGAAACACCAAGACATCTACTCAGTACAGTATGATGCAGTCAGGCTCAACAGAGCTTAGTTTTTTACAAGGCACCAAGTAAAGTAATTAAGTTAATTAAGTGATTGGGAATACCCAACCGACTGGTCAATTTCAATTTCCTAAGAAAAAGTAAGACGCTGAATGTAGAAAATCTCAAGTGATGAGCAAAAGACACAATATATCGCAAGATCACAGTGTATATCAATCCTGCAGATCAACCGATTTGAGAAAAATACAAAGGAATTGATTTGTTCAAAAGTGAAAGTTTGAAAGTACCTGTCCCACTTGAGCAGCACATCAGCGATATCCTTGAACTCGTCAGGGTTGCCGCTGCTGAAGAAGCCGTTCTGTATCTGGTCAATGCACTGTTTCAGTTCGGGGTTGGAGTTGTAGTACTTGTAAGCGTCGTAGCCTGCGGCTTTCAGAGCATCCACCTCGTCCACGGTCATGCCGAAGATGAAGATATTGTCGTTACCCATCTCCTCAGCCATCTCTACGTTGGCTCCGTCTAGTGTGCCAATAGTCAGGGCTCCGTTCAACTGCACAGGGAAACCGATAGCAAATTATTTCAATATTACGTATTATTAAAGTTAGGATAATCATTGTAAACTAATCTTTTGGATTAAAAAAAAAAAAAATGCTTTGGCAGAGAGATATTGAACCTCTTTTGAATTCTTTTTACTAAAAATTAAAAATGACAAAAAGACAAGATGTTACTAACTAGCTAAATTAATTAGGTTGGCTGTTAATTGGTGGGATCCAAACAGAAGTCCTGCACACTTATTTAACTTGTTAGAAGCATATCTAATGATCTACTTTCATAACAAAACATATTTCTTACCAAGAAATGTTCATTAGTGCAAATCATACACAAATAAAGTCTGAACTGTATTTTTTCAGAACAGATAAAAAGCAATTACAAAAACACGCATAACTAATTACAGTATAAATAAATGAAAAAAAAAACATTTGATCATATAGAGTGCTATACATTTGAATTTTGGTAAATAGGCTAATGATTCTATTTTGGAACTTAAAACTAGAGAAAAATCGGTCAGATAGGTTTTCCTTCTTAGAAACACAATATAACAATAACGCAACGATACATAAATACGTAATGCGTAGTTTACGCAACGATTACGTAAAGAAAGAGTGTTACGACACTCGTAGAAAAAACTTCTACGAGTGTCGTTAACACTATTTACGCGAGTTGCGTACACTACTTTACCAACGACAGTGTTTTAATTACTAGAAATCACTACTCATAACTTCTAACAGAGGTTATGTTTTCGTTTATAACTTCCAATCACTGACAGTGATGCAACGAAACATTGAACCAAATAGTAATTAATTGCACCACTCAACAATTAAATTGGCCTGAACTGAACAATTGATTAGTTCAAGTTTGAATCATTACAATTTTACTTCTTCTCTCTCAATCCTTGAACCTCATTGGTCCGTTACTGTGTTGTTATGAGTAAAACTATGATGTTATGAAAGTAAAAAATGCTGTTATGAGAAACTTTTCAATTCTAAGAACTGAACTGAAACGGCTAGCCTACTTTAAAAAACGGCCTTAGGTAAAAATAATAATGAACTATTGATGAAAAAAGTTATTGATGTTTTCATTGCACAATAATCGTTGAACTGAATTTGCAGAAATTTAGCAAAAAAACTAGTCCATATTCCCAGTTAGTATGGGGAAATTCCTGTTTCTATTTTTGACTTAGGTCTTTTCCACGTCAGAAACGTTCACAAGTGGGGTAGGGTGTTGATATAAATTTGCCTCCATGAAAACATTAAGAAAAGCTAAAATGGACCAATTGGTCTTAATTATTTCCATTAATGGTCATACTGGATTGCAAAGCATGAATAAATCTACTCGCTCACAGTAAAATGAGCAATAGCTCGAAACGCAATTTCAGCACATAACACCGTGGACTCACCATGAACTTCATGTTGCCAGTGCCTGAGGCCTCAGTTCCCGCGGTGGAGATTTGTTGACTAAGGTCAGCTGCTGGGATGATCTTCTCTGCCAGAGTGACTCGGTAGTTCTCCAGGTAGATGATCTTGAGTTTGTCACCGACCACGGGGTCATTGTTGACCACGTTGCCAACCGCACAGATCAGCTTGATGATCTTCTTGGCCATGTAGTAGCCTGGTGCTGCCTGAAGAAAGATAAATTTCAATGAATCGTGTACTTTTTGTTGTAGGGAAAGGACATTAAACGACATTAGACATTGTATAACAGGATGGGCAGACAGCGGTGAAGGTATTTGTGAGATCCAAAAGGGTAGGCTAAGTAATGGGAGGAATAATGTTTTAGTGTTGAATTTAAGATTTCAAACAGTAAGAGATGTGTCAAAAAATAAATAAAAATATACTTTTTTTGCACATTTCTCAATATTTTCTTTTTAGCTTCACGTCCCAAGACACTAGGCTCTAGGCCAAGAGGGTGTTGGAACTATCACATAGCTAAAGCCAAATTGCTATGGAGTCTCAGTCTTGCTTGAGCCACCTGTGTCCATGATGAACTACTAATTTCAACTATTGTTTTCTTTCAGCATATTATGTAAAATGTTGACTACTGTTTACTAATCTTGTAATGTTTGTCCTAGTCTTGTTATCTTGTTATGTTTACGTTAAGTACCTGAGGACAGGATCAGATTTTAGATATTGAAAATTGTGAAAACTGTTAGCTAAATGTGTTGGTAAATGTAGGCATTAGTCCCTTAAATAACATAAACTCGTCATCGCCCTAAACTAACTTCAAACAAAGAACAAAACTGTTAGGCTACTTACAAAAATTATGAAATTATAAACAGCTACGGCAGTTTGCAAAATAAACATACTTGGACTACATATAGGGATGATTAACTGTGGTGTATCACAAAAAAAATTAAAATTCTATTGATTACCTTTCCACCGACCATGACAGTTCTGGGTACAAAGTTGCCAGTGGGGTTCTTCTTGATCCTGTTGTACATGGTGATGATGTGGAGACAGTTGAGCAGTTGACGTTTGTACTCGTGTATCCTCTTGACCTGTGAAGACCAAAGTGCTTATTAGGGCTTATGTAGAAATTAGGAGAAGATTAAGGTAGTAACTATAGAACTTTAGATGATAATAAAATAATGATTAAGTTGGTGTTTGGGCTTCATAAAACTGAAACCTGTTTTGAAATTAAAGTTACTTGGGCGAAAGTACGGAATGTACAGGAATGTATAAAAGTACAGGGTAGGTTACAACTTATCATTCAACAGTAGCTGTGAGAGGTCACTTACTACTGATATATGTATAATGACTTTTTCCTACAGTTACCTAACAATGTACATGTTTTCTCACTGATTTGAGAAAGTAAAGTGGCCAATTCGCTCATCAGTGAGACAATGTTAACATTGTCTCACTCTAATTACTTTGTCTCACTCCAGATTTTCAACGTGAAGGCACGAAATAGTGAGCGCGTAACATGCAGGCAACGTCGTATGCGCGTGAAATACGTTGGCAGCACTGGCTGTAAATCAGCTGGTCAGCTGTTGTACTGTTGCATTTGTCACTTCACATTAAATGTTATATTAAAAGTTCACTTCTGTGTAAAAATAGGTTATGTTTCTTCACCAATTTATTTATTTTATGGTAACTGTAGAAAATAGTTATTTGTGCAACTAGTGAGAAAAGTGAGCAATTGACTCACTCGAGAGAAATCCTTACTCACGAGCCGTAGGCGAGTGAGGAATGGTTTCTCGAGTGAGGCAATTGTACTTTGAACACGAGTTGCACATTATACTTTTCCTACAGTTACCATAAAACAAATAAATTGGTGAAGAAACATAACCTATTTTTACACAGAAGTGAACTTTTAATATAACATTTAATGTGAAGTGACAAATACAACAGCTGACCAGCTGATTTACAGCCAGTGCTGCCAACGTATTTCGCGCGCATACGACGTTGCCTGCATGTTACGCGCTCACTATTTCGTGCCTTCACGTTGCAAATCTGGAGTGAGACAAAGTAATTAGAGTGAGACAATGTTAACATTGTCTCACTGATGAGCAAATTGGACACTTTGGTTTCTCAAATCAGTGAGAGAACATGTACATTGTTAGGTAACTGTAGGAAAAGTATAATGTGCAACTCGAGTTCAAAGTACAATTGCCTCACTCGAGAAACCATTCCTCACTCGCCTACGGCTCGTGAGTAAGGATTTCTCTCGAGTGAGTCAATTGCTCACTTTTCTCACTAGTTGCACAAATAACTATTTAGCAACACACTCGGCGTCAGTGAAATGTCTACACTATCGAAGGCTGAAGAGGACCAAAGTCCTAGTCTAGAGTAGTGGGGATTTACCACGACAGATGATGGATGATACATGGATGAGTGGGATTGTCAGGACTATTAAGAGTAATTATGGTGAGATAAGAGTTAGGATATAAGATATATAAGATCACAGGAGGGGTAGTTGATGACCGCTTAAGAGGGAGGGTGGAAAAATCAAGACTAAAATTGTTTGAACATTAGAGAAGAATAAAAGAAGGAATTATTCTAGGAAAATGCAATTGACGGTGATATAGGTGAGGAGGTCAAAGGCGGATAAAATAAATAGGGATGTAGAGTAAGAGGCTGAGTAAGATAAATGAATACAAACCCTTTAAGAAGCGAAATGTTTATGGAGAATAGTCAGACTGGAATTTTGCCGCCTCTACGATTGCTCACGCGGTGGCCACGCTACTCTATCTCTCTCTCTCTTTCTAAGCAGATTTTTTATCTCACTCTCTCACTCAGTCAGCTGACTTGGCCGCGCTCTCGCAATAGTCTAACTAGCGGCCGCCGCGGGAACTATTGAAAATTCAAATATTTCCAGACTGAGTTTTTTACAAAGGCATTGCGCTTTTTAAAAGGGGTGTATTCATTGGTAAGATAGTTAGTTGAGGAAGTGGCACTGTGACGGGATAGGAGAACGTGGAGGGGTTGATGCTTTGAAAAAAAGGAAAGAAGAAGGGTTTTGAAAGAATTGCTTTTTTGCTTTGAAAGAAGGGGGGTTGGTTGATGCTTTGGTCTAGGAATAAGCAGAATGCAAATAATAAGTATGGTAATGTAAACTGAAACACAGCATATTATCCTAAAATACCTGTATGTCAAACATTGACGATGGGTTGATCTTGACGTTGTACTCCTTCTCCAACAGAGTTGACAGCCTCAGCTTGTTTTCCTGTTTCACCTTCTGTACGAGCCTCTGGAATGCTGCGTCTTTGGACAACTTCTTCAGCGCCAGTAGCTTGTCTAAGTGAACAATCCATTCTTCTCCAATTTTCTGTAAACAAATATTTAGTTTATAAAACTCCGAAAAACATAACATCTTCAAATATAGTACATATCATTATAAGTGCCAAATAAGGCATTTTCCGGTGCATGCTCAAGTTTCATGAGTGAGTTAAATGGAAATAATTGGATCAATTGCTGGAAAATCAATTTTGAAACAAAAATACACCCATGCAGATTGCAGTATAACAGACCTCAGTACAAAAACCATAACACTTCTCATTAACTACTTTAAAAAATAACAAATAAAATAAACCTATTAGTTAACGATTAAAATGTAAAAATTATAGATTTGAAGTTTTTTTATCGTACAGTTTTAAAACACACACTATACTTCAAACACAGCAAATTCTAGCTGTTTCTGTTTACATTTTTATATAGTTAGGCAGTTAAAGTAACTCATCTGATTTGAGAAGTAGATTATTTAGAACTGATAGGGAAAGTAGATTTATAGCAATGGAAAATCAGTTGATCATTCCTCCCTTACACTGAATTAGAGCTTGGGAACCATTTATTTTCTTTCATCCCAGTTGTCATTGAAAATAACTACTTTCTGTACAGAGTGATGAAAAAATCTGTTTTTAGGTGCGCTACGCGTGAATCTTTGGTCCTGGTGTGACGGGTTATCGGCAGCCAGTGTTTGTTGTGAATTAATCCCATCCTATTTTCTTCTACACATACTTTTTCTACTTGTGCTATTTTCTATGCTTGACCGGATTCCCCAAACGAAACCCAATAGAATAGTGAGAATAAGTGTGTTTTCATTTTTATAAGAAACTGCTACGTAAAAACTACAAGATGGCGTGCAACCCTAATATTTCAATTTTTAAGGATTAGCCCTATATTGTTCATATAGGTACATAACCAGTCAGCAACTCACATCAGCAATAACGTCGGACAACGCAGGGTTACACAGCAGCAGCCAGCGACGAGGAGTGATGCCGTTGGTCTTGTTCTGGAACTTCTCTGGGTTCATCTCATAGAAGTCTTTGAAACTGTGTGACATTAACACTTTTAGCATTAAACCTAACATGAGGTGAATGTGACATGTCTGAAATAACTCTATTTGTTTGGATTCCATAAACTTCTACTTCCGCAAAACACAATTTAAGCAAATTACATGCAACAGCTGCTTACATATAAGCTCTGACAACAAATAGCTAACGTTCTATAATTCTATGTCCCTTTTGGCATATTTATCTTTAAGAATAAAACTCAATCTTTCAGCACGTTCAATGCACACAAATTATTTTTCTACCGTTCATTGAGTGGTTTATAAATGTTTAAGCTTGTTTGTAAAAATTTAAATAAATAACTTCTTGATCAGCACATTTAACACATTACAACTACAACACAAACACTACACAGTGATAGCACTGCTTTTTTATGATTATTATTACTTATTAAATCAGGACTTTCGTGGATTTAGTGATTTAAAACATGAATTATACTTGGTTAATGCAACTTCTTTACCTTATTTTCTATTAGGATTTCACAGAATCTCCATCTTTAGGCAACATCTCAAAACTTCTTCACCAACCCAAACCAAAACACCCCACAAGTAAACAATCATCATCTACTGGAGGTGAGACTTACACTTCCTTCTTGAGGATCTCGCTGTGTATGGCGGCGACTCCGTTGACAGCGTGAGACCCGACGATGGATAGATGTGCCATGTTGACTCTCTTCTCTCCATCCTCCTCTATCAGTGACATCCGCTTCATCTTGTCCATGTCACCGGGGTACTTGGCTTGTACGGCCTACAACATAACAACCATGAGTCTCACATAATAGGAATGTGTATACTAATTCATCGATATTGTAACAATTTTTTACTTGTGCCATTGCTTTCGGATACTTAAGATGAAATCCCATCTCTATGGACAAGCGGATTCCAATTTTGTATTCAAAAAGAGAAGAGGATAAGCCACCCACAGGATACACTGCTATCAATAAATTTGATCTTCTTCTTTATTTTTCATTACTGTGGCACAAAAGTTGATGTGACTTAAAAGATGCTAATGGTTGTACAATAAGTTTGTTCGGTTTGGATGTTTAAAAGTTTGCATATTTGACGACAAAATTTACATCAGCACACACTGTCAGTGGCTCAATTGAAGTTTGTTCATTTTCATCATCAAAGTGATGACAACTAGCATTGGAATAGAACGTCAGCTATCCATGGTCAAGTAACTTCATATTGTTAAAATAAGAACCAAAAGCTTACAATAACGCTTCAAATAAACTAGAAAAGAAATTTTACTTTGATTGGAAATAGCCTCACAACAATTAATGATGTTATAGCTCGTCAAGTTACCTGCAGATGAAGGAAGTTGATGTGGTAGATGATCTCCATGTGTCGTGGCAGGATGGAGTGCAGCATGGAGCACGGCCAGCGCTCTAGAGCCTCTGGTAGCACAGTGTGGTTGGTGTAGGCACACGCTTTTACTGTGATGTCCCACGCCTACAACCACACATAGTAGTTTGTTACATTACGCACAACCTAGAGGTTTTCAAGCGCTCAATTTTGAGCTTAAACAAAATCTACGAGATTTAGTTCCTTAAAGTTAGGTACATTAAGTCAGAAAATCGAGCCCAGCTGATCCTTTACTATTGAAATCGTAGAAAAACTTAAACTAAAAATGTTAGCCTGTAAGGTTCAAAACAGATCCTTGTTGTTAGTGTGTTTATAAACATACAAGGAAAAAATTGAGACAAACATGTTTAAAAAATACTAGAGCAAGATACTGTCTTTTGTGCGAATAAAAATAATATGTGCATATTCACCAACTAAAAGCTATGTATAAAAAGATTAAGAAGGAAATTTGCTATAAAAAGTTAAAAAACTACCCTTAAAATGCTTTAAGACACACGATTTCACATCTAAAATAATTAAAAATTCCCTATTTAAGGATCTCCTATGGACTGCCAAGACCCCTGGAGTCATAGTACCTCCAGACCCCCTCCCCATTAAATCTAGTCACACCTATGAATGTGATAAGACATATACGGATGAGTTTACCTTCTCCCAGGAGAGTCCCTCGACATCAATCAATATCCTCATCAGCTCAGGGATGGCCAGGGAGGGATGAGTATCATTCAGCTGGATGGCAACCTTCTCAGGGAAGTGCTCCAAGTTGGTGCGAACTTCATCCTTGCTGCCAAACTTGGACGTCTTGAATCTCCTGATGATGTCCTGCAATGTAAAATCAGTACTTACAGTTACTGTAATTTTCTACCAGTACGGTTGTTTTACGTTTAGGTTAAAGCTTCAATGATTTGCACAGCTAAATACGTAGCAAGATTGACTATACATAGATTAGACTTCCCATCCAAAGTAAACGTGGTGCAATCTGTTGAGATGGCCTACCAACCAATGACAATATTTTGTGTTAAGGGATAAATCAATCAGCTATTGGCACAGATAATATTTAACCTAATACACTAGTACCCTCTGGTGAGATAGTACTGAACTTCATCTATTTTTTTTACTTCAAATTTATACATTGGATGGGAAGTCTACTCTGTATAAAGTCAATGGTAGCACTCATATTCACACACAAGCTGTTTTGTCTATAGCTTTGGTGGGTCAGAGATGGAAAGTTCTAAATATTTTTCTTTTCCACTGTTTTTGCAACAAACAAGCTCTAAAATCCACAATAAATCTTCAGTAGTTTTAGATCTAATGTGTAGAGTAAAGAAATTAATAAATCTGTATAGAGTAGTGTAAATTATAACTGAATATGAGTAAACAAATGTACCTGGAGGGTGGCAGCGCACATGAAGTACTCTTGCTTCAGTCGGAGTTCTTTGCCTTCAAAGAAGTTGTCATTGGGGTAAAGTACCCTGGAGATGTTCTCAGCCAGGTTACGGTCCAACACTGCCTGGATGTAGTCCCCGTCATTGACTGAAATAATCCAACATTGAAGTGACACCAAATTTGATGGAAATGCCTTTCGCTTTTTTTTTTAGATGAACTTTCACTCATTAATTTTGGCATACACCTAAGAGGGGGTCTAGAATGGAATGGAACGCGTTGCTACAGAGTAAGATCAGACGTTTTCTTAGCTCGGACCATGTAGTAAAATATCAATAACCAATGACAGCAAGACCTCACTTTTCTCAGTTATCAAACCTTTTAATTGTTAGGAGTGCATTAAAACCAATCAGATTATTTTATTGTGTAGTACAGAATAGAGGTTTATTATTTTACATATATTGTGTGGTTCTAAAATGTATCCATTCCTTTTGGTATTAACATCTGATGATCTTGATATTTCAACAAAGAAGGTCCACTCCTAATGTGTAAATACAAGAGAGATTTACTATAATAGTAATAATTTAAACTTACAGAACTTGAGGTTGAATTCAGTAGGAGACTTGGCTGACCACAGTCGCAGAGTGTTGACAACGTTGTTACCATAGCCAGGGATAGGGTTGTCATAGGGTAGAGCAAACACCACCTACAGGCAGATAAGTCATCAACTATAACTAAAACAGCTTAACAAGGGTTCATTTCCAATTTATTGATGGAGAGTGGACCTGAAACACAATAACTGCATTGACTTTTTGACTCATCAAAGTTCCTAGTGACACTGATATCTACCGCAATATACATAGACTATGTAAAATTTTGCCTCAAGAGCCAGAACAGGGCACATTGCAACACAATCTTATTTCTTTCTCTAAAACTAGCTAAGTCGCCATTGTGTCTGGTATTTCAAATGGAAGAAGAGACCTTGCAGCACGTCATCCTTCAATGTCCCATCAATTGGATGGGTGAGCTAACGAAGAAGCTTCAACAAGATTGCACCCTTAGCCGGATTTTGTCTGATCTCAACTTCTAGAGATTGGCCAGCTATGTTTATGATTAACACCGAGCGGTTCCCTTTACCTGATGCCGCATGTATCAAGAAGTAAGAAAATGTATTAATAATAATATTGCTATGTACAAAGTACTTTCTAACCTGATGATGGTATCAGATTCTAGATATCGAAACATCGAAAAGACTAAATTTAAAATCACAATGTGAAACACCTGCAAGAAACTCTCAAATAATAACTTGACTTATAATGCATGTCTGGCTCTGCACTATGCATTAACGTAAAATGTATTAAACAATCCCTAAAATCAAGAACTAAACATTTCAATGTATGCCAGGCCTTGCTCCGGACCTAATGCTTTACCTGAGTGTCGACCCATTTCTTGCCCTTGGGTGTATCCTCCACTCTTCCGTAGAAGTTGACAGGCAGCATGTACTCAGGTCTGGCCTTCTCCCAGGGACAGCCGAACCTCAGCCAATCATCTGGCTCCTCCACCTAGCAAACACAAAGGTCTAGAATCTGGCAGTTTTAAAATACAAGCAAGAATGCAATAACTTACGAGCACTAATGTAATGCTTACTTTTTAAACTTTTTCCAACTTGAGTATGGTATCAACCAAATTCTATAGATCAGTGGTAGGTAGTGTCTTGGGCTGTTTGAGACAGGCGGCTTGCACTTTTTTACCACTCCAGTTACCACTTACTTCACAGTACTTCACTGTCTTTATATCCCACGCAAGCCAGTGGTCACAGGTAGGTAGATTAGGCTACATGGCGACTTTGTCGCTGCGACAAAGAATGAAAGTGTGTAGCATTTAATTAAATGAAGATGGTCACGATAAGCAACTGGCAAGGACCGGGAACAGAAAAACAAACAGAACGGTCTTGGCCGCACTAGGCAACAAGTCGCTCGCTCACACACCCGGTTCCTGCACTGATATTTTTCTTGTTCAGTTTTGGTCTGGCAGTGAGAGAATATGGAAAATATGCGGTCGAAATACAAATATTTTCATCGATAAAGTAAGCGTGAATAATATGAAATGAAACCCTTTAAGAATTAAGTATATTCTCTTCTGGACGTAATAAAAATCTAAAAACTTGTGTATTTATTTAAACGTAGTCTTCAATGTCATTAGCTTGTCAAAGCTATGCTCATCCGAAAATAATACATACAATTTACAATTTGTAAATACATCAACCCTAAACACGTTGTTAGGGTCTGGTCAAAATAATGTTTCAAGAAATTCACTCTATATGTACATTTCCTCTTCCTGTTTAGATAGGCCCTATTTAATAAATAAATAACACGTAGGCTAATCCTGACTCATTAAAAACACAAGAAAGTCATCCCAACAGTTAGAAGTTGCTCAAATAGCCACCTCACAGACCTATCCAAGCTGCAAAACTAAAGAAACGTTTCGGCGACCAGGTTGCGGTGATGGAGTCGCCTAGTGTGCTGTAGCCTAAGGCTTAAGAAAAAGCCTAGACTACTATAGAAAAAGTTAAACTAAATTAGTAGATATGCCACACTACTAACAAATATTACTAAAAATTACAATATGCGACTGGCATTTTCTTTTGTTTTATAATGTGCTTTACAAGGAGTTAATTGGTAAAGCAGTTAAAAAATAGCAAAAGTAAAAGTTTTACAATGACCCAATGTAGAGCTTACCTGTTCTCCGTTTCTGATCTTCTGGGCAAAGATACCATACTCGTAGCGGATGCCGTAACCATACGCCGCAATACCCAGAGTGGCCATGGAGTCTAAGAAACAAGCGGCCAGACGTCCCAGACCTCCGTTACCCAATCCTGCATCTTCTTCAAGGTCTTGCAATTCTTCTATGTCTAGGCCAATCTGAAAAAAATTAATTCAAGATGAGTAAACAAAAATGGACAGTAAAAATAATTATACAGGCTATTATTTGATACTGGATAGTATTATTTGGTTTCTGCAATATTTATTGTTTGAAGTCTCTGTTAAAAAATGTTTTGGACCAAATGCTCACACTGACTATTTCACAATTAGTTACTGTACCTAAGCCTATATTTCATACATCCTATATAACCAAAGATACAATGTAAAAATTGTCAGATAAAATTTCTTCAGTTGTTTGTAACACACTTAAAAGTTCTATACAAATTCTGCAAGATGACATATGGTTAAGTTAATAGTTAAGCATTAGGCCAACTAGTATAGACAACAAGCAATACTAGACATGAAATAAGTTTTGTTCTTATGCAGTTTTAAATGTACTAGGCCTAATAATGATTACTAACTTTGAAATCAGAAAGTAAGAAACATGCAACAGTTAACAATAAGATAATACAACAATGATGGTAGGATGTTGAATAGTATCATAACATAAACCATGGATAGTAGGTGAAAATCTTTAGATATTAAGTGATGTAGAATGAGCATGACAACATTCAAACATTCACAGACAACTTTCATTGTACCGGTATGGTAAATTGTTTATAACTATATTTAGTTTCATACTTTATGTTTCAATAGGTATTCAAACTTTATATGCTAGACTAGTTAGTTTTAAAATTGTATAATTATTAATGACAAATAAATGGGGAAATGGGAGGTTTTGCACACAGTTCTAGACGTTAAAAATGGCTTTAGAAAGTCACCAGCAACGTCTATTAGGAGGATGGCTGTAGTCTACAGTGTGTTTTGAAATTCGTGAATGCAATCGTCATAGTTTAATTTTTAAATGTCTACTTGCTCCTGACAAACAACAGGTACAATTGGAGTTTATGGACAACTGAGCACAGTTTTAGGTGTTAAAAATGGCTTTAGAAAATCACCAAACGGCTTTGAAAGTTCCAAATTTTCCTAGATGCCCTAACCTATTAAGGGTGATCCACAACCCCCAAGCCCCCCCCCCCCCCCCCCCCCGGTAGCCCCCTCCTTGAGTAGGTCCTAGAACCGCCACTGCATGATATAAAACAATAACAGATCAAATTTAAACTATTAATAGGCCTACTTTTTTCACTACTACTTTCAGAACATTAAACATAATACTTGCGCCTATAATAAATGTGCAGATTGCGTGTGCAACAAGTAATAAGGTTAAGTGGTACACTATATTGCATATAAAGCATTAAATTATCCAGAGCGCAAACAAAATATTTTTCATAAACATGAAGACAACTGCCAAATAGGCTAACATGAGCAATGACGCAACACAACAATATATCTGCCAAGACAGCTGGCTAGTTGGCAATGACCATGACAACAAGAGCTAGGAGGATAGCAATGAATACATTAACAATAAGGTCAGGCCCAATGTTAACCATTGAGCTTATCTAAAAACATTGTTGAGCAGCCCTGTACAATCATGGACAGTGCACTTATCATTTACCTGCAAAATATGTAAGTTTTCTTATGTAAGTTTCAAGTCAGGTAACATATCCTGTGGTGTAAACAAAATGTTTGCCAATAATTCAAGCCAGCGTGTTTACAATGTTTCATTTACTGATACACTTTTTGCCTTAATCCCTTCAAAGATATTAAAAAAATAGAGGAAAATAAATAAATTATTGTTGTTTAGACTTGTGCTTTGTAGATCACTTTGAATTTAGGTCAGTGAAAGGCGGACAAATTAATGTTTGGGTTTGTCCTATTGTAGAATAGACTGATTCAGCCTTGTTGGGTCTTTCACCTCAATTTTAAATTATCGCCTCTAGGCTCAAATAAAATCTGTGGCTATTTTTTATCTGAAGACCAGCCCAGTTAGTAATTTATTCTATTTTTCATTTAAGTTATTTCTTTACTTTTATATTATACACTTTCTTACACAGAATTTTTAGCTCAGACATAATCGGGTCCGCGGAATTGGCTAACTCTGGAACTCGCTAACCCCATGTTAAACGCCCTATCTTCAAATTTGGTCGATGGGAGGAACTCGCTAACTTGTTCGGTTTCGGAATTGGCTAATTCCGGAACCCGCTAACCCGCTCTAGAGCCGGGTTAGCGAATTCCGTCCTCGTACGGAAGTCGCTAACTCGGTCCCTCGGCGGAACTCGCTAACTCCCAATCAGAAGCCTCGCGGGCCGTCCAATGGAAGCCAAGCACGAAGATTTTTGGCCAGTGTTGCCGAAAGTGCAACAAACTTCACCTTATTTATAGTACCTAGTATTTTTATGGTACCTATATCGTATCGGTACCATAATGTCGTATCCTACGAATAATTAGGAGTAAGAGCAACGTAGCCGATAAAATAAATATATTTAGAAGTATTTTAATATTATTCTTATGGTTATTAGGGTAGAAAATGCATTATAGCATTGACTATATATATAGTCAATGATTATAGTCTTACCATAGACTAACCAACACAAGTAAACTGTACATCCAATTGTAAACTTTGAAGTTCGTTTTTCGTGTCTAATTCATGTCCGGTGACACTGATCGCTAGTGTCGACGAAATTGTGTTTCTATTATTTTATAGTTAACTTCATGATTTGTTCTTTACTGTTTGGTTATATAAATAGGGTACGTGTTATAAGTTGTGATTTAAACGTTTTATTTGGTTAAACGAGGTTTTAAATTACTGAAAACAAGAAACAATTGTAAACAAAACACGACCTCTAAAGACAGTGCACCGGACATAACTACTATGAGAAATGTACTAATATAAGGGAGTATGTTTTATATGTGGTTTTCTTACTTAAATAGTAGTTTATTGGGATGCAAAATGATAATACTGTACATTTAATTAGGATATTATACATGTCTTTACATTTTTAAAGACATGACGCGATCTATCTGACATTGTCAGTCAAGGATCAAGAATACAAGTATCAAGTAAGTATCAAGTAAGTATGTTATAAAATATCTATTTTCGTAGTCCACCACTTGTTTCTTTTATTCGAATAAATACCATTTTGTTAACTTCTGCAATAAAGTTATTAAGTTCGTATTTTATATACTGGGCTCGTAACCTTTAATCATAAAATGGAATCATAAATCATGATAAAATTTACACGTTAAACGTCATTACAGAAATGCATTGCAGTGGTAATTTATTTAAAAATAGAGCTATTGAATTTAAATAAATATTGATCAATACATTATAAAGTGGTAGGCCTAATGTATTAATGGATTGCATAACAAATTTTGTCTATGCATAGATAAAAATTGCAAATTTCTATTATCGTAGGCTATTAGGCCTACTGTAGTGTAAAACCCGTGTCATCCTCTTAATTTTGTTTAATTAATATTAATTTTACGTCTTTCAGTAGGCCTACTTTTTAAAAGTTTTGAGTTTTTATGGTTCTAAATGGACCCAGGCATCAGTGGCGGTTCTAGGACCTTGTCAAGGGTGGGCCACCGGGGGGCTTGGAGGGCGTGGACTGTGGGTGGAGCATTGGGGGGTTCTCCCCCGGGAAAATTTGGAATTTTCAAAGTTGTTTGGTGACTTTCTAAAGCCATTTTTAACACCTAAAACCTTGCCTAATTGTCCATAAACTCCGCATTTCACCTGTTGTTTGTCATGAGCAAATAGACATTTTAAAAATTAAACTATGGCGATTGCATATTGCATTCATGAATTTCAAAACTAGACGTAGACTACGGCCATATCCTCCTAAAAAAGCCGTTGGGTGACTTTCTACAGCCAGTTTTAACGTCTAGAACTGTGTGCAAAACCTCCCATTTCCCCATTTTTATTTGCCATGAATAAGTAGACATTTTTAAAACTAACTATGACGATTGCATTCATAAATCTCAAAACATATTGTAGGCTACGGCAATATCGTCCAAAAGGCTGTTTACTGACTTTCTAAAGCCGTTATTGATGTCTATTTGTGTCCAACTGTCCAAAAACCTGTCATTTCACCTGCTATTTGTCTTTGTCATGAGCAAGTAAGTAGACATTTTAAAAATCAAACTATGACGAACTTGCATTCATGAATTTCAAAACATAGGCCTACTGTAGACTACGAAGCCATATCTCCTAAAAATAAGCCGTTTGGTCACTTTTATATGGCCATTTCTAACGGCTAGAACTGTGCTCAATAATTATCCTAAAACCTTCCATTTCACCTATTTATATGCTTTTTATATGTCATGCAAGCAAGTAGATACGTTTTTTAAACTTATGTTTTTCTACAGTCCATTTCATAGATCTGTCACAATATGTATAGTATCGAATTCAGTACCGGTAATAGCATTGACTATACAAAACTTTAACATTCGTGTTAATATAGTAAATGGTAAAAGGCTACTGGTGCTACCGCTGATTGCTGATTGATGCCTGTGGCCTTTGTAAAGTTAGTGGCTAGCAGACAATTTAACAACTATGGAACATCAGGAAATCAGCTGTTTTCCCGTCCTTGTATGGTCTTTGCTCGCGCGCTCGGCGCTCGCCTCTGCCCTAGCACGTCAACAGCTAGCTGACTGCTGTAAAAAATGGATGATGCGTATAACCACAGCCACCTCTGTATAACTAACTTTCCATTGCGTAATATTGTTTTATTTGCGGTGCTATTGTCCACAAAGTTGATCTATGTGGAACTTAATACTACTCCTGCCATCGCTTATTAAGTTTAATAAAATCAACATTGATGTCTGTTTTATGACATTGCGTGTTTTAAGGGCGAAATGTACGTTTAAATTTATTTTTCCAGGGTCCAAGGGGGGGCTTTAGCCCCTGTAGCCCTCCCCCTTGGAACCGCCACTGCCAGGCGTTCTTGTTTGTTACCATTTTTATGAATGGTGGCTATAGCTAAAACTACCTGATCTTATCTAAAAACAAAGGTATTGTCTATTGAGTAGCTCAGTACCGGGGAACGGGGAACCAAGCAATGGCTTGGTATACACTCGATTATAAAAACAATATAAAGGAAACCCAACACTCAAATCAGGAAAATCCGTCAAGTCGTTGATTAAGAATCGTGAATTAAAATAACCCTGTTCCGTTTTATTATATGTATTATATCTTCTCCTATTATTTACTAGAGGTGCATAGGTGTACAATCTAAAAACTGTTTTAAAACATGTAACATTATTACTAAAAAATTCAACACATTTTAGAATTAGGCAACTATTTACTAGTAGACCTACAATGCTTTGGTTTAAACTATTAGGCCTAGATTTAGGCCTAAGCTATTCTATAATTGATTTGAAACTTAGTCTATGTCATATTTTTTTTACGTAAGTTGGAAGATTCAATGACGAACATTTAATTTTAAATCTATGAATTAGTTATGAAAGTTACAATGGTTGATTACTGTATTAATTGATGGTTTTGGTTTATTACGACATTACGATTAAATTTGTTTTCCGTGTTTGAGAACTTGCGTGTATTTTAGCTTAATTTCGTAGATGTTTAATTATTTATTACCAATTAAACTGAATATTCAATATTTTTCATATTTTATTTTTTTTTTATACTGATAGCATTTTGTTTAAGATCAAAATCATAAACATTTAATTAATTGGCCATTGTACAGTTCAATAAAAAAACACCTTTTCATTACTTTTTAATTGTTTTTTAATTACAATTAATATTAAATTGGGCTAGTTATCTGTTCAAAGTGGAGTTGATAACAAAAAACAATAACGTTTACTGTATCTTCATTGACACTGATATTTTGAAATACGGCAGTGTACGATTATTTCGTCGTGCAAAGTTGGCAACGCTCCATGCAGTGGGCGCGGCTGGGTTAGCGACTTCCAGAGTTAGCGAATTCCGCCGCGAGACAAAATCGAGTTAGCGGGTTCCGGAGTTAGCCAATTCCTGACTGAGACGGTTAGCCAGTTCCAGAGTTAGCCAGTTCCGACACACGACCGAGTTAGCGAGTTCCTGAGTTAGCCAATTCCTACGTCTCACATAATCATCATAGATTGTTTCATTGTTGAGCATATTATAATAATATCTTGTCATAGATTAAACATAATTATTATTTTATAGACATACCACGAACAAAACAACCTGCGCAGAAACGAAAAGATGACGTGGTTCGCGCCGGTAGGTGTGGCGTACCATTCAAACCTGTGCGGCTCAAAATGGCCCAGGGTTCTTTTGTTTCTGGTATTACTATAATTTTATATTAATTACTATATCCAACACGGTACCTATATTACTTTTACCAGAAGCATTAATATTTTCTCTGCAATTAAATAAAGGTCATGACTTGTTACGTGGGCTGCCCTTCGACAGATTTATTTGTGAATAAGAAGTAGGTCATTTGTTCTCCTCCTTTAAAGAGACACCGTAACATTGTCTAATGCCTTTCTATAAGTACTTTAAACATAGGCTAGGTACTTTCATTTATATTAGTCATCTACCTTAAGCGATTTAACTACATTAAATACACCTGAGCCACTCAGTAGGAATCAGCTGGTGGTTAGATAAGATAGAAGGCTCTTTATCAGCAGCTCAAATAATGTGGAGCTTTTCAATAGTCAAAGGAGAACAATATGTATTCATAATTAATTATCATAAGACTTAAGGTGAAGGGAATTCTGAAATTAAAAAAAAGTCCCCCTCACCTATCCTGAACTCTACTATTCTGAACTCTAGGCTACGTAGCTGGAGCTACGTCTTAAGTGGAAGAACCACCGGATCATAAGGTTATTACAAAGCTATTGTTAGTAGGTGGCAATATTCCAACCCAGTTCTTAAAAATAACGTTTGTGTTTATACCAATAGATCAATGAGTTCCCCTCTATCATTGAGTATACACGTATAAGAGTTGTCACATAATGTTATTAGTTGTTACCGATTTTGGCTATGTAGTTCGGGCCGCTGACGCTTGGGTCGCGGTAGTCGGTATTGCAGTGCGCCTCTGAGGACCTTTTAACCATATAGTATTAAAATTGTATTATAAAACAACAAAACTAGAAACAAACAAATTTCATTAAAAATGACATTTTACAACCTACAATGAAAGTAATAATAAAAAACAACCAAACTGCCTTACCGACAAGCCCGAGGTGGAGTAGTTCAGCTGACACTACTCTGCAACAGCGCTGTTCAGGTAACGATAACCTCCATTGAGTGGCTACTCTAGTACGTGTATACTCAATGCCTCTATATACATTATTTTACATCCTTTGGACGCTAGGCACTAACCCAGAACTGTTTTTACCCATTACTTCATGCTAGAGTCGCAGAATCATCATAAAGTTAAAAATCCATTGCTGCTTGATTGACACCACTGATGATCAGCAATATTAACAACCCGGGATAGAAGGGTCCACTTTCCAACTAGACCAGATCACTTCTCTCACACGATATTACGCATTTGATATAAGCTCAATACTTATCTTTAATCAATGTTCTACATTATAACTATGCACAGACTAGTTTACCTGATACATGGCTTCATCACAGGCGTTCTGAATGCCAAGGTTGATCATGGTGTTCTGCAGGGAACGTCCCATGTAGAACTCCAGCGATAGGTAGTACACCCGCTGCAACAAATTATATCTATTTCAAACTGTATTGAAATTAATTGCATCATTTTTAAATCATCTTGAAGACAGATTTTATTTTATACTAAAGAATAAAGCCTACTAGTACAAGCATGTAGGCTAGGTATTTTTGTTCAATGGGTTAAAATTACCTAAAACGCAGGGATTGTGTTTAAGATTTGGGAGTAGAGGCTTTGGAAGTAGTCAAGTCAAATGAGTGAATAGTTGGGTAGCTGAGTGGACTTAGTACTCAACTAGTACCAGTAATCAGAAAGTTCCTAATTCAATCCTGAGAAAAATGAAAAACTTTTTAGTGGTTTTAAACTGGATCTAGCTGTCCTTGATCATTGGGCTTTTAGTTAATCACGGCTAAGAACTAGCTCAGTAAAAAACTTTCTCATTCTTTCTACACTCATCTTCACTTTTAAATATACATCCTTGTGAGTCAGCTTGACAAAAATCTAATTTAAACTAGTGGCTTTCAAAAGCTGCTTAGACCTATAATACAGTACTATCCTGAATGTGCCTTAAGAGAATAATAAAATAATAAAAGAAATCAAACAGTTATTTCATATTCAATGTCAATGAACACCAAACATCATGGGTCAGGGATAAACAGCACAAGTTTGGCAGATTGCCAGCAGCTGAACATAAACTACAATCATAGGTCTAGAAATAGTTTACTGTCCAACAGTAAGATTTGTATAGAGTAAAAAAATAATATGCTAATTTTACAGGAACTCTTCTGCTTTCCAAGTTTGTGTACTCTAATGGTACTATTTACTATTTTAGTTAATATGAGTGTTACCAGAATTGTTATAAAAATACAATACATGTAAAATTCCTGCGTATCTAATTTCTTTATATTTATTCATACATATTTAATAAAAAGTTCTTTGCAAAGTAGGCTAGTTTGCTTGTTTTGATGAATGTACACATTGTATCATAATAGTACGTTATTATGTTTACATAATAAGTCTACTGCATTTGGTAATAACATCAAATATTTTCTTATTGCCAAAGTTTTCTTTATCTGAGTTTTAAGTTATCTGTCAGTTGTTTGTATCTGTAACTATATAAAAGTAAAAAAGCTCAGTGAATATCCTTAGGTTCAACAAACCAATCCTCCAAGATAACATGCAATACACATACATTTCTGTGTATATTTTAAGCTGGACATGACTACAGGTTCAGTATAGAATGGAGTGAGATGATCTGGGTTGTGTTGTTACTGACTTAAGCAGGAAACCCTGTCCGACGCTCTCCGATCTATTCCGTTCCGTTCAGTCTCCAACTTGATTCGATGCCTTCCCCTCTTTTTAAGGCAATTTAGCCTGTCGCGATGAAAAAGCATCAGTCGCGATGGAAAGTTCTTCCATCGCAATGTGTTGTATGACCGGCACACAAATTTCTCGCTCGCTTGTTATTTTGCCTAGTTTTGTAAACACACAATAAACTTGTCATTTTATTGAATTGTTCCCTTATTTCCTGGCCAGGCTTTGTCCTTCCTGTTATCATGATAACCTTCACTTACTGCATAAAGAAAGGAATACTCCCTAACTGCTTCAAATAAAAGTTCGTTTACACTCATGTCACTAAGCTTAACAGTGACTAATCAGCTGGTGCCCGCAGAATTGAGAAACATCGGATCCAACATCTGACAACAATGCCCCAGAGAAAAATATCATCGGAAGGTGTTGAAACGGAACTGAAGGGAGAGCGTCAGACTTGTGGGTTACAGTCCATTTAAAGCCTCGCAAAGCAATTTTGACGGAGGGTATTGGAGAGCGTCGGATTGAGAGCATCGGACTAGTGGGATTCTTGCTTAAGATCACATGTTTCTTCTGTCAGGACTATTTTATTAAAATCCCAATCTTTTTTAACAGCTTGATCGATCCACTTTCAAACCATCAATAGAAAATGGGATGAAATGGGATGATGGGGTGGGGGAGAATTTGGCAAAAGGTTGTATAATATGTTACCTGCTCATACTAAGTCTTACATTGAATTTTTTGTTATCTATTTATTAGAAAAATTTAGTAATTTATGTGTGTAAAATGTGAAAGAAATTGTAGATCATATCAAGGAATGAAAAATATTGTGATGAAAACTGTATGAGGTTGCTATACATGTTTTTAATGTTGATGGCAATAAATGGATTTGATTTGATTTGTTTTGATTTGGTTGTGTTGCTAGCCTAGTGGTTAGGCCGGGCGCGCATTATCCCGACCACGACCACGACCACGACCAAACGCCCGACCAGTGGTTATCATTCACCATGCTACCAGAGCACGACCCGACCAAGGCAACGAATGTTTTACAAACTTCAGTGTCAAGATGATTGTTGAAGAAGTAATTGTTATGGTGCATTTGTATTGTAAGTACGTTAAGCGGAAGAAGACACTATACTGGGTATATCCAATGTTAACTGTTAGGTCTGAAAGGGCATTTTGCAACATTTTATGAAGAGCTACGTCAATATGAAGACAGGTTTCAAAAGTGTCAAAATCCTGCGAAATTTTACCAAATGAGTCACTTCACAGACCGGCGCAAAAAACTAGTGCTCACCGTTTGATTGATCTAGACTGGTCGGGTCGGAGGCAAGTCGGGGGTAGTGCGCGTCGTCCCATTACATTGTGTGCTATTTTTGGCTGCAACAACCAGCGGGTCGGGCCCGACCAAACTGGAAAATTTTGGTCGTGCGACCAGGGCCCGACCAGTCGACCAGTGCGCGCTGTTTCATTTATTTCTATTATAAAACTGGTCGTATCTGACCAGTCGGAGTCGTGGTCGTGGTCGAGATAGTGCGCGCCGGCCCTTAGCGTCTCAGAATTTGGTACGGGAGGGACCGGTTCAATTCCCAGCAAATCCACAAAACTTAAATGGGTTTGGACCGCCAAATGTCTAAGTCAAAATGTGTTTCTTCCATAACCCACCTAGTTAAGTCCATAAAATTGTGTACAAGTAAATTACTAAAACTAAATATATCAGTAGCAATACCAAAAATGATGTATTAATAACTTGCTAGCAATTTATTAGCACTAAGCGAGATAAAAGTTATATGGTAGGTTGTATTAATAGTCAAAGATGGTAGTATAGGATTTAGGCTATAATATTAAAACCATTAGATAGTGAAATCTGACAAGGTCAATTTCAAACATCTTGGCCCAAAGTCACTGATATAAACTTGAGAAATAGTTATCGCTTAATTCCTCTAAAGTGTTGAAACTATAGAAATCACTAACGTCACTAGTGTTAGGATCAAGGTCCCTGTGGATGTCACTGACCAGCTCGTAATCAGATCTTTGTCGTTACTCAAGTCTGGCTATTTTTGATCCTGATCCGACTTTGTCATTGCAGCTTCAAATTAGAATTAATGTTTGGTAATGACTTCAGTAGGCATTACTAGTACCATAGATAAAAGGAGTATATACACTTAATAGGAGAATTGTACCTACACTATTATGTACACTGATTCCAGAAAGTTATAAGAAATGTCAATTTTTTCATATTAATTTTTTTTTTCATTATATTTTTAATTAAAATTTGACACCCTTATCTTGAAGTAAAAGTTAATAATTTATAACACAACTTCATCTATAAAAAGAATGTTGGCATTAAAACCATAGTGGGAATTAGCCTACTGTTTATGTTTTTCTAGTCTTGTAAACGCAATAATACAAATTCTTATGATTCTGATGCAAACTCGAGCGGCAAAACAAGGTAAAAAATAGCAACACAGATTTGATGACTGAGTTCGTTTATCATAAGGGATCCACCAATTCTGCCGACTTCAAACCAAGCATTTCACACCAGCCTCTGCATGAGGTGAATTCATACCCTCAATCTACGATGCTATTAATTGCCTTACCGGGAAAATTGATCATATCTGATGGTGCATCCCACTGACAAAAATGTTGGACCCATTGTTGGCCTGAGCATAGTACCGGTAGGCTAGTTTTGTTGTTGACTCCCAAGTTGCAGAGTACAAATCACGTACAGCTTTAACTGACTTCATTGATCTATGTTTGCGTAGATAGATAAGTGAGATGCTACAATATTTGCTATTCCTAGTTTATCCCACTGTGTTGCCATCCAGCTTTTGATAACCAATATATCAACCTTTGGGGCTCAAAAGTTATGAGTTCAAACTTCAACCTCGGATGACTTTGGTCAAAGGAGGCATCTTATTCATTCATGCTAATAATTTTGATTAAGTTTTAGCTTATCTATAAGTATAAAAGAGGATGTTTGTATTATTTGGCAGTGATAAACTCAGACACCGCTGAACCGATTGCCACGAAACTTGGTACATACGTGTAGAATTTCATGGAATAGGTTTATACACCATCAATTTCGTGATCCGTCCAATCGGCTCCGCCCCAGTGGCTCTGGACTTTCCCATGTTAACCTTATGAGAAATGGAATTAATGAATCTTAACAGCTGTTTCAATTAAACAAGTTGGTTCTGTTCTATGATGTTCAATAGCATTAATGTAACACGGATTACCAACAGGGTGCAGCACTATTATTTCTTTTACATTTATGACAACAGCTAATTTGCAACCAAAAGGTGAGTGAGCATAGCGAACGAACTTCAACCTGGAGGCGAGTTAGCGTAGTGAATGAGCTAACCTGAAGGCAAGTGAGCGTAGCGAACGAGCTAACCTGAAGGCAAGTGAGCGCAGCGAACGAGCTCCAACCTAAAGGTGAGTGAGCGTAGCGAACGAGCACCAACCTAAAGGTGAGTGAGCGGAGCGAACGAACTTCAACCAGGACGTGATTGAGCCATGCGAACGAGATCATCTTGAAAATTAAGAGGTTAAACGGGGCAAAGCCCGCGGGTTACAGCTAGTTCTCTATATAGGAAATTCGCTAATTATAAAACACAATTTGTAAAATGTTTTCCTAGGAAAAGAGATCAGTCAAACTAATTATGCACTCCTGGACTGAAGGTGTAAATTGTACTTTCTTGAAGATAAACCGGAAGGCAAGTTATGAAGAAGCAGACAGTGTTAGATATGAATGTAAGGTCAAGAAAACATGATAACAAGTTACCACAGATAAGATGTGACTTAGTGAACTTGAAGGTGACGCACAGATAATCAGTTTTTAGATAACCTAAAAATCCATGGTAATTGCTTACTCGTTGCTCCTAATTGTAATTGATAAGCATAAACTTAGAACCAGAAAAAAACAAAAGGTTAAGTTACAACTATGTAGAAAAGACCGTTTAAGGTAGTTGATGGTGATACTTACAGCCAAGTTGAGGACAGTGTAGAAATCCAAGAATCAATTATTATATTCATAATTAAATGTGGGTATTGCCTCAAAGATTTTGTTAAATGTAATCCTTGGGAAAACTTCTACAGTATGTGTTACATTAGACGTGAGCGTGGTCAAAACCATTTACAAAAGATTTAATGGTTGAACTTTAAACTAGGGCATTCTTGGTAAACAGATAACCTCATTCATTTAAATTGTCAAATTGATAACAAAGTTACTTAATTAAGTCTGTCTAGTGGAAAAAAACATTATCACATTTTATTTTAAGAGCGGTTCTTTTTTAATAAAGGCAAATTTAGGTAGGAAACGTTCCATAGATTTTAAGACTACCTACCTACTTAAATACGAAAGAAATAAAAATCACTCAATTACGGATATTCAAATATATTTATTCAAGATATTACATGCATGGCTTCTCAAAGTTTAAAAAACTTGTCGGCAAGGACCAATAGATTTATAAAAATCAATGGTAACCGAAGCACAGCTAACGGTAGATATTTAATTCTTTCTGTCTATGCTAAAACTAAGCAGCTTGATTTTCAATTTCAAAAACTATAAAACGTTTTGCCTAAAAATACAGTAGGCTTAGAACTACTATTTTTTGGAAGAAATTTCAGCATCACAATTTTATTAGGTAGCATTATACAATTTCCGAACAGACCATGGTTAAACAGTTCCGTTGATCATCATATTTTTACCTTTATTTAAAAAAAAGGGTTGGGAGCCACTTAACCTAGAATTTGTCTGTCTTTAGGCGTCAACCAGTGCGTAGAACAGTGGAACGTATCAAGCAATGCAGGGGATGAGCCGGTACAGCACAAGAATTAACTTAGAACTTCTGAAATTTAGAATGGTGTCTGGTCTCTGGTGTCATACTGGGATGCGAACCCAAGACCTCAGTGCCCAATAATTGTGCTGAAGTCTTTCTGCACTTGTCACTAATGCTATTTGAAATTCTTTAGTCAGGACTCTATCGGGGATAGCAGAGTTGGTGGCAAGTGAGATGCTAAGATATTTTGATACTAGGCCTATGTCTGTATATAAGGTCATACTAGGATGAACTGAAGGATTTTGGCAATGACCAAACATAGAGACAATTGAAGAACCTAGGTAACATTTAATTACCGATAAACGCCTCATCCAGTGACCTGCAGCCTTCAGCAAGAGCAAAACAAACACGTACCGTACAGCGCTTTCAGGTCAAAGCAACAGACGCTTCCAATGTTATCTTACAGCATACCGGTACTCAGAAACAAGTCGCTCCCCACCATAGTAAAAGTAACATGATACACTTCATAGAAGTTATGCCGCCACTAGTGCCACAAATCCAGTTCCTATACTGTTTCTTTTGTTCAATATTGATTTTAGAGTGATAAGTTACGGTTAATCTCATAGAACTTATGACTTTTAACACAGATAAGCAGGCACTTACTCAAAAAAATTTATGCTGAAAGCTTTTAAGAGTCAATATTCTAGCCTAAATATGACCAGTTAGTTTCTAAAAAAGGAGATGTCCATTGACATGTAAAATAAAAAAAATCAATAGGTACTATTCATAAAAGTTCAAATAGGCCTTACAAGTTAAGTGTGTGTGAGTATCATACCAAACCTTTAAATGGGATGTCAAACTAAAAGATTACAGTATCTTTTGGTGCAATAAAGGATCTGAAATCTCGCCTTTTGTCACAATTTTTTTCTTTTATGAATGTCAGGAGCTCGTCAAACCAGGCTAAACTCATTTAAAAATATGAAATGCCGCTTTGAGCCGCTTTGAGTACATATATTTTCTTCCTTTTCAGATAGGCCTAGGCTACGCAATAATTAGAAACAGGTCCTCCTCACTCACTGGAGTCATCTCGAAGGCTAGAAGGCGCTCTGAAGTGTGAGGCTAGAAGTGTGGTATCTGGTGCAATTAGGTGAAGAATAAAAGATTTCACAGCAGTAAAATTGTGGCAGCCTAATCACCAAGTGTGGCCCTAGCTTGAGCACAAAGCATTTCGGTTTGATGCCATTTGTTTTCCTCTTGCTTAGGCCTACTGTATACCCTATTTTCTCGGCAAAACAATATTGATTTGATTAATGTGGCTACGATAGTCCTAAATCCTCGTTTATGTCATTCAAGGGAAAAAAATGGACGTTAAATTAAGTTAGGCTAGGTAAATTACACGGTGTATAAAAGAATTCCTTTTTACGCCTTGGGCTAGGTAGGCTACACTTGAGCTTAAGCCAAGGTAGGGTACAGTTTCTTAACTGGCTATGATAATATCGATTGAAACTATCGATTCGATTAGTAAACTTTCATGCGATTTTTTCACCATCAGCAAGTTTGGTTGGTTAGGTTAGGTTATGATAGTTTAATTTTATAATAGATACCTATATTTAAAAATATCGATTATTATACAATATTTTCAATTCGATAGTTTCAATCGATATTAGCATAGCCCAGTTAAGAAACTGTAGGCCTACCCCCAAGGGGTGCTAAACTTATACAAACGTAATCCCTATAAAAGTTTAAACTTGGGGCCTCCAATGCCAAAATTTGTCGTTGGTTGAAAGAGGTAAAAATTCAGTGATTGACTGACCATTTCGGAGTTGACTCGAATGCTGTCTGATTATTTCAATTGGATCGTCTAGGTATTAACTTAACGGTGCAGCATTTTTAATACGAGTAGAGGCCTACGAAGCAAGCTCTACTTGATCCTGACAATAGGCTTACCGGTATGTCCTTCTCATGCCTTGCAAGTTGAAGTTGAAAATGTCTTTATAACATAATTAATTTACGTTGGGCCTTATAACTTAAGTGGAAATTTTAGTTACTGTAACAATTATTGACAATAAGTTACTACAGTTATTGATAGTAAAACAAAATCATCCCATAGCATAGCAGTTTAAATCAATTTATTAATTTACGTTGGGCCTTATAACTTTTTAAGTGGAAATTTTGGGTACAGTTTCTTAACTGGGCTATGCTAATATCGATTGAAACTATCGAATTGAAAATATTATATAATAATCGATATTTTTAAATATATCTACTATAAAATTAAACTATTATAATTTTAGTTACTGTTGTAACAATTGACAATAAGTTACTACAGTTATTGATAGTAAAACAAAATCATCCCATAGCATAGCAGTTTAATAAATTTACAATCAGGGTCTTAACAGGTGATTTTATGGGTGGTTATGCAAGCAACTTCATGCTAGGCCTAGTAATGACCAAATGTGTATAAGAGTATGGTTTTGGCAGATTTTTTGTTGTAAACATACACAGAATTATTAAGTTGAAACTGAAAGAATTTTACTTACTTTTGGGTCCTTCTCGTAGTAGTGTTGCTGTGTCCTGATCCATCTTCCGACCAAATTATCCCTGACAGAGTAAGCAAGGGCAAAATAATAGTCCCTAGACGTCGCAACATTACGGTCTTTGACCAATGTAAAATGGAGATGCCTATTAAAAGTTTTCTTGATTGAAGCGACATTTTCGACGTCTGCAATCCCGCGGACACTAATCTGTTTGCGTTTATCATTGTCTGACTGAACAGGTGACATTTTTAACTTATTAGAATAACCCTAACCTAACTGAAAGTTTTAACAACAATGAGCGCGACTCGATGAGAAGTAGCTCTCAAAATCAGCCGGTTGGTTGTCGGTCACCTCTACCAAGGTCGTTTCCCGACCAATCAGAACGCTGCGAATGCTGCAATCACGCAGCACGCAGACGCTAACAGCTGACATCAAGACACGCACTTTCGAATCTTTCGATATGTCAGAATGTCATTCACGGCCGCTCCCAACCCCAACAACAATCACGGGCCACGGCCTTGATGGAATTAATTGAGAGATTCTAAAAGTGCAGAAAGGGCAACCAGTCACGTGAATTGTCAATCAATAGAATCATTCGAAATTCGTTTTTAAGCTATACAGACATATTTTGTGCTGTACAACACCACCTTATGCTCCTTGACAAGACAACTGTTTATTTATTTAAATAACTAGGTAACCGGCCTTCGTACGGGGTTGGCTTACTATAAAATTATTATTGCAGTAGTTATACTCGTGCCCTGCGATTGCAATGGGGGAGGACGCATGGTTTTAGAAAATTTGGATCTTTAAATTTATGGTATGCTATATAATTTATAACACATCTACCATAGTCATAACAGTAACGTAGCCAGGATTGTTCTACCACTGCAACTTAACAATAGAAAAAAGTAAATTATCAAAAATTGGCACAATATCATAAATCATCATAATATGATGTAGAAAGCGAAAAGGGACCTCTTGTCGGATGCAAAATTTTCAATTTTCAGTACGGCCGATATAAGTAATAAGGTATAACATATCGAAATTCGGTTTTTTATCGATTGTTATCTCATTTATCATAGAACAGGACAGTATCGGTTAAAATATCGAATTGAAGACGTAAAAGGTCCTGGAAGTAATAATTCTGTCCATTGTAATTCTTCTAAGCTGTATGTCTTATTCAAAACAAATTTTATTTGTAAACCTTAACTATGGACAACATTGCACGGGTTACCGTGGTAATTAAAAATCAGAATCATTTCAAATTCTAAAGTATCCTATGAAAATGAATTTGTATATGTATTATGGAACAATCATGATTATGGTAGGAATTATAGCTAGACGAATTCATGTGGAAATATTAGAAGGGGGTTTTAATATTATTATCGGTTAAAACGAAGCTCCCAGAGGATAAGGGGTGATTGAGGATACCAGCAAATGGATAGCGGCATGGATACCATCACATGGATAGCAGGATAGCGGCACATGGATACCTCCAGTATGGATAGCGGAATATGGATTCAAGCACACGCATACCAGCATATGGGGATACCATCACACGCATACCAGCAAATGGATACCATCAGCACACGCATACCAGCATATGGATAGCGGCATGGATACCATTACATGGATAGCGGCACATGGATACCTCCAGTATGGATAGCGGAATATGGATTCAAGTACACGCATACCATCATATGAGGATACCATCACACGCATACCAGCAAATGGATACCATCAGCACACGCATACCAGCATATGGATAGCGGAATGGATACCATTACATGGATAGCGGCACATGGATACCTCCAGTATGGATAGCGGAATATGGATTCAAGCACACGCATACCATCATATGAGGATACCATCACACGCATACCAGCAAATGGATACCATCAGCACACGCATACCAGCATATGGATAGCTGAGGCACGCCTTACCCTCTGGGAGTTTAGTTATTATACAATTTCAATTTACACAAGGTCAAAGTTATATTATAAATAAAATTTAAGTGTCAAGAGAAACTGTCTTTAAATATCTGTGTATAAGAAACAGATTATAAAAAAAGGTGTACATATTCAAGCATATTATTTCTGTTTTATTTGCTATTTTATCATTCTCAATTTTTATAAAATCACTGTATAACAATTCTCTTTATTTAATGTATTTATCCAGGGTGTGCACATTTAGTTAGATTTATTAAATCATAACTAGTGTACATGTTTAAATTACGCGGGAACAAAGTACAGTAGCCGTTTGATTAAATAAGTCTAAATATGTTAATTGAAAATTATTTCTAGAATAATTATTAAAAATTACAAATACCTATATAAGTCTAAATAAAGATTAATTAAATAAAAATCGTAACTATTATTACATGTTGTTTACACTTTTTAAATAACAAAAGTATAGAAAGAAAATGTTTAATTTCATGTCATTCTAAATTATAGCTTACAGGTAGGCCTATTTTTAGAGCTGTGAACATTTTTAAACTAGTAACATATCTCATGTTAGCAGGCCTACGTCATCGTAGAGGCACAGAAAACATACTACTATAACCTGCTATAACATACTCAAATCACCTTTACGGGGGATTTGCGATTTTTATTGTATTATTTATGAGCAGATAATATAATATTAATTGGTTCTATAGTCTATGATATAAGTTCAACCAAATATTTCATGGCAAGAAGACGCCTGCAATGTAGGGTACGCTAATACTAAGCTTATATTTACAACAGAAACCGTTTTAGGAATACGGGCGCCCATATTGTGGGAAAAAGCCCCACGCTCTGCCCCACAGGCCGATTTCTGACATGCTTCCAAAGTTTAAATGATTTAATTTATTTAATGAAACAGCTGGTCAATTCAATAATCTAGTGTTTATTTATTTACTCGAAAAAGATGTTTGTTATGCTTTACAGTATGTAGATCGAGATACATGTAAAGAGGCCTCACTAAAGTGGTAAAACATCTCATTCTTGAAGCATAAATATGAAGCAATTGATGTTATTGCTGCACTAAGGTATGTTTTCACATTATTTTCGATCTATTAAAATCAATAGTAGGGGGTTTGAAAGTAAGTAGGTTTACACTTTTAAATCAGTTTATCTTTTCATATTAAATCATAGACTTGCTGTATTTTTAAAACACACATCGCACCATGTATACAATTTAATGGCTTATATGCTACGCACCATAAGCGATCTATAGATCTATTCATTAACTTAGGCCTACAAAATTCCTTTGGTTATTAATTTAGCCCACATTGAACTTAAAGTCATTTCTTAATAAATATAACTTATAACTTGTGTTTTATTTATGTCTAAAGAGGTAAGTCTTTATCTTAATCTTATAATATATATGAATTATTTTAAGAATAAATAGATTTGGTAAGTTACAATATGAAATTTATTAGTGAAATACCACAAATATAAGATAAGTTATTATCTTAAGTTATTATAAGTTATATTGGTTGAATTAGCGATAGGGTCTAACAATGGTAAATTTACAAAATGGTGGGGCTTCCAAAAAGGATAAAAAGATTCTAGGCTATAATAGATATTGGTTTCTTCTGAAGTGATTAATATTTAAATATATAAGCTCTTGATCTCAGGGAGGGGTGGTCGTGCCGGTTCGAATGATATATTAGGCTTTATTTAAAATGCAGATAATTTAATTATTGTTCTGAAATAGGCTAGGTTTATGATGCTATATTGTAATATGACAATGTCCAAAGAAAGGTTCCAAATGGTTTCACTGGATTTAATAAAATAAAATAAGAATTAAAGATTAAATTTTGAATAAAAGTTCAATTTGAAATATGTATATCTTAATGAGTTAAGTTAATTGGGCCTATTAGGCTATGCTGATTAAAATGTCCAATGAAGATTTGTCCTTATTTATTTAAACCAGATGGATGATGGTTACCAAATTTGGTGTCTCTGTCTTCACCTTTGTACCTTATGTAATAAATAAAATAGGGGTGGGATAAAATTTGGTACTTTTCAAGGCACTTGTCCCTAATACTTTGATTTTAAACAATTTAAAATTCTGATTACACTTTGGGATGAATTTAATTTAAGTCAAGTACAATGTCCAATAAAATGATGTTCACACTGTGAAGAGTTGGCAGGATCTGGGGAGAGGCAATGGTTGAAGCTCTGGAAGTCCATGTCCATTGTTGAAATAATGTACAGCTGGTTAATTCACATGAATGACACTTGCCACAGTAATTTTGATTTTCTTTGGATAATTTTGAAAAGTAATACTATATTTAAGATGTTATTGTTATATTGCAATTTTCTTACAATTATATATTATTATTCTAAGTAAATTTGATTAGCCTTTGGATAGATCTGGTGAGAATTGGCATAAATATTATATTGTAACATAAAATAGGATGATATTTCTGTGGGGTGATGGGATATTATGTAATATTGAACAAAATTGGATAAAATAACACATATTAACAAGGAGAAGCATATTAAATAACTGATAACACATTAGGGGCATTAACAAACATTATGGGAGAAAATATACAAAATAGTAGAGAAATTAATGTTAATGAATGGATGACATGTAATATTACACTTAGATCACATTTTCTTCCCGTTGCAAAGCACGGGTATACCACCTCGTAATAAATTACTCAAACCATTTTTATTGCATGTATGACAACTCGCATCGAACACATTTCCTTAATTTCCTGGTTTCATCGCAATCTTTCCTCACATTTCCTCCATCAACCAAGCCCCTTTGGTCTGACATTTCTCAACATATTTTTCTGGCTCAATTACACGTTGTTATCTTTTATAGAGCTTGCCTCCTCTCATTTTCCGTGCAAATGGAAATGCAGCTCGAATATGAAGGATGCAACATCAATGGTGATTCAAATTTAATGTCCTGGAAAGACGCGGCGACGCTCGAATGATCTGATGTGCAAATCTTCACCATAGCTTACGCTGACATGACATAACCCTACTGATAGTTTGTGTTTGATTTCCTTATGGCATGTTATGAAAGTGTTGACATTTTCTTAAAGAACCCATCACGGTTCGAGCATTGGTTTTTGAATACTAGGGTAAAAATATGTATTTCGACCAGCTGCAGCCAATATATTTGAATATAATTCACAGTGTGTGGGCTTCAGTGTGAAATTATATTTTCTTTTATTTCTTGATTCTGCAGTAGTTTATGTGTCATAAAAGTGTGCAATAAGTTGTCTTTCCTGTTTGGATGCGTTTAAAAACGTTTGCGTTTAACAGTAGTATTTTACAGCAAATATGTGTATAAATCTTTACTAACATGCCAAAATAAATTGCAGATA